CGGGGCAACCTCCGACTCGCTCCATGATCCGGTCTGGAACTTGCTGGTCTGGAACTTGTTGCGGAACCAGCTCTCTGCTTGCCTGCCTGCCCTCAGGACGGCAAAGGCTCGCAGGCCGAGCCCGTCATCAACGCATGCGAATGCGCACACCGGACCCCGGTTCAAGATGAGGCCCTCAGCGCGGAGGAGGAGGTGAGCTCGGACTTCGTCTCGACGGTCGCCGCCGGAGTCGACAGCGGGGTTCCACGTGAACTCCAGCGCCCAGTGTTTGTTGACCATGGCAGGGACGCGTCTTCGCGTAGAAAAGAATTTAAAATGCAGCGCGGCACTGGGCGCCGAAAGGCGAAAGAAGCCGCGAGAACAAGGGACCGGCAGGCGGCGGCGTCACAGGACGAGGCAGAAGGGAACGACGCGACAGAGGAGGAAATGACAAGGGAGAGAACGACGAGAGTGGGACGACCGCGAGGTGGCATGAAGGTTGCAGCGAGAATCGGAGAGAGACTGCGAAGAGAGATAGGAAGAGGCAGACTCCCTAGGGTGGGCGACGGCTAGCGCACCACACACCTCTCCTTAAAATCCCTGTGTGGTGGCGGCGTTCCGTCCTCCCATCCCTCCCTTGGGTTGTCTGTTTTCTTTCTTTCTTTCTGGGCACGGGAAAGAGAGAAAATCAACCGGCCTGCGCTCCCTTGCATTTTCATTCTTTCGAAGTTGAATTCTGCGCACGTCTCAACGAGCGCGCTCACTCCGCGCTTACACACACTCCGCATCTCGGCCGCTGCGGATGAGGAACATTGGAGTTGTTCTCGCAACCATCCACGGAAGGGCACTCACAAAGCACCCTCCCCATCTCCCTCTTGGCCTTGCTCCATCCAGAGCACTGTACCACCAGCCAGTCGCACAGCCTGCACTGCGGCTCGCGGATGGTCGTTCAGCTGGAATTGGTCGTCGGTGGTCAGCTCAACAGGTACGCAGCCGGCTGTCCTTTCGATGTCGATGTCCCCGGTGAGTGCGGCAAGTGCGCTTCCGCCAGCTGCTCATTCGACGCGCCATGTCCCCGACGCCCGGCATTGCGACCACAACGGTTAGCCTTCTCGAGGTTAGCCGTTTGTGTGCTTGCGGGCATCGTGCCAGAGCTCTCCGGACCCCGACGTTTCAATCGACCACGCGTTCAACACTTTATCATTTGCCCCCGGGGGTGCCACTGTCTTTCTACGTATTGATTGATGTGGGTTGGGGCAGCCAGCAACCCACCCACCGCCCCAACCCAGCAAGCATTGCCGAGCTGTTTTAGCATGGGCTGCTGCCCAAGACCTGCTACCTGGTGGCACGAACCAGCCGTGCAGCCCCACTAACCAGTGCATGCTAGCACAGCTTCTGACCGGCGGGGCGGTGTGGTTGTGTGGAATATTGAACACGTCCCGGCCGCTTGGGTCGCTTGGGTCGTCCAGCTGGCCCACGTTCATTCAACACGCTCTCCGTCTCCCAGATGCTCCAGAAGATGATCCAGCACGCAACCGACAAGCTCGCCGAGCTCGAGAACTTCATCGAGTGGCGCGAGCTCAAAGGCTCAGACGAGGCGCAGAAGAAGTTTGTGCATGACTTTCAGATGCGCCTCAAGCAGCTCGAGCCGCTCGACGCCGGCTTTCAAGGTCTGATCCGCATGCTACGCGAGCTCTACAACTGGACCAAGGAGGACGCGCACGCGCTCGGTGGCGACTGGCTCGCACGTGTTTCCTCGTTCGAGGCAAGCCGCACCGTCAAGGCGGAGGACGTGAGCGCGCTCAGCGACCTGCTCAACGAGCTGCAGGAGAGTGTGGCGGACACGCGCGAGCAGAAGCATGCGCTCGGCTCCGACAGCGAGGCGACGGTCTCTGTTGCGCCATCCAAGCGCCGCAAGAGCGGCAAGGCCAGGCACGAACTTCCGCCGGGCTGGTCGACCAAGCGGGACTACGGCCGTCTCGCTATGCCGCACCCTTACCGCGGCCCGGAAGGCCTCAGGGCGTCGTGCCCCAAGGAGGCGTGGAAGCGCCACGAGCGCTTCGCGGCAACGGCGCTGACTGAGCTCAAGCACGGCGCCGAAGACGCGTCGAGCGACGAGTCGAGCGACGAGTCGAGCGACGAGGGTGCCCCTTTGCCCAAGCGGCAGCGTTGCGACGAGGGCTCGTCTGAGACTGAGTCGAGCGATGAGCGCGCCTCGACCCGTTCGGGCACGGGCACTGTCTCGGAGGACGTCGTCTCGTCCGGTGAGGAGACGACCACGGACGTTGAGGCCTTCGTTTGGATCGAGGGGCGCGGCTACCACTCGCCTGCCTCAATGCACTACTACAAGGAGATTGAGGGCGACAAGAACCCCCGCGAGGTCCGCATGAGCAAGATCAACTTCTCGAACGGCGCCAGGAAGAGCCTGACGGTCCCAGAGAGCGAGCTACGCGAGATCTCGCCGCAGGAGGCGGCGCGACGCGACGCTGGCAAGGGGCCGTCGGGCGATGTCCGCATCCCCGGCCTGAGCCCGCTCTGGTCTGGGCTCACGTGGTGCAAGACCAAGCCGAGCCCCGCTGACGAGGAGAGCGGCATCGACGGCGGCAGCGGCGGCAGCGGCGGCGGCATCGGCGGCGGTTTTGCCTCGCCCGTGCCGCTCAAGACGCTCGAGCTTTTCGGCGGCACCTGCCGTCTCTCGCGGGCGCTGAGCGAGCGCGGCTGCATTGTGACGCTGCACGAGCGCTTCGGAGACCGCGTCGAGTGGGGCGAGACGATGCGGCAGGCGACCACCAAGCTGTACGAGCACGACATCCTCGAGATTGACATCTCCAAGCTTCCCGTCTTCGACTTCATCCACGCGTCGCCCGAGTGCCGCACGTACTCCAAGATGGCGCAGAGCGAGCACAAGCGCGGCCCGTCCAACCAGTATCGTGGCGTGACTGGGGAGGCGGAGAAGGCCAACCGCGTGCTCGTCAAGCTCGTCGACATCCTTCTCGACCAGCTGAAGCGCAACCCCAAGCTGCGCTTCATCATCGAGAACCCGTGGAACGCGTGCGGCGGCATGCACCTGCAGCCGATTGCGAAGAGCGTCATCAAGAAGGAGGGCGAGGGCGGTCTTGGCGCGGTGCTGCGCATCGTGTCGTACTGCATGTTTGGCGAGGAGTATGAGAAGGAGACGATGCTCTGGACCAACATCCCGCGCCTCGCCGCCGAGCTGCAGGACGACGCCTACCGCTGCGGACAAGGCGGCCACGGCTGCGATCACTGGCTTCGCTTCGGCAAGCACCGCAAGACTGTGCGGGACCTGACGTCGCACAAGGGGGCGGAGAAGGGGGCGGCCTTTCCGCGACGCGTGGCAGCCTTTCTCGCTGACTTTGTCATCAACGAGGAGGCGGGGCCGGCGGCTGCAGCCTGCAGCTCGTCCGCGGCCTGCTGCGCGCCTTTGCAACCCCGGGCTAACGGGGCCTCTCGCCCTCGCCGCCGCGCCGCCGCCGCCGCTGTCAGCAACATGGCGGAGGTCAAGGCGAGGGACGCGGAGGCCGACCAGGCCATTCGCGAGCGCGAGCGGGACGTGTATGCCCGCTCGGCCGCTCAGGAGCCGTGGAGCCCCGAGTACAAGGAGGCGGACCTCGCGCGGCAGCAGCGGGCGCTCAACGAGCCGGACTTGCCGGACGGCTTCCTGGGCGAGCCCGACCCGCCGTACCTCGGGCCCGGCAGCACGCGCAAGCCGATGCCATCCGACGACGCGGAGCCGATGGAGGTGGAGGAGGCTGGCGGAGCGGAGTCGGAGGCGGCGGAGGCGGCGCAGGCGGACGAGGTGGGAAAGGTTGCGGACGAGGAGATGGAGGCGGAGGGGGAGCCGCTTGGGCCCTTCGAGGATGAGGCGGGCGAAGGCGAGGGTGAGGGTGAGGTGGAGGCGGCGCAGACGGATGGCGCGGAGGCGGCGGACTCGGAGGCTGACTCGGAGGCAGGGGCGGGCACGGAGGCGGGGGAAGAGACGGACGTGTCGGCGGAGGTGTCTGCTCCAGCGCCAGCGCCGGCGCCAAGCGCGAGCGGGAAGGCGAGCATCGAGGCAGAGGCGGCGGCTGAGGCGGCCAAGAGCGAGCTCGACGCCGCCCGCGCCGAGGAGGGCCGTGCCGAGCGGGAGCGCTCGCTGGCAGAGGCCAAGGCGTCGCGCAAGGCGGAGGCGCTAGTCGAGGCGACGCGTGCAGAGAGGGCGGCCGCGGCGAAGGCAGAGGCTGCGAGGTCCAAGGCGGCCAAGGCGGAGGAGGCGCTCGTCGCCGCGAAGCAGAAGCGAGACGCTGCATCCGCCGAAGCTGAGGCCGCAAAAGCGGAGCTGGCCGCGGCCGCCGATGACTCGTCGCGCTGCGCGGCCACCGTACGCAGCATGGCCGCGCGCGAGGCTTGCATCAAGCGAGCACACGAGCTGCTGCGCCAAGCGGACACTCTGTACTCGCCGAGCGCGGGTGCGACCGGCGATATGCCAGGAGCGGCCCCGCCGCTGCCAATGGATTTCGTCGAGGGCCTCGACTGATCGTGGCGCCAGGCCGGCACGGAGGAGGCGGTGGCGGTGCGGCGGCTGGGCCCAGGGGCGGCCGGTGCTGGCGTGGAAGACGGCGCGATCTAGTGTGCGTGTCGGTGTCTGCAGCCAGCTCTCTCCTGGAGCCTAGCAGTAACTAAGGCGACCGGCGGTGGGGCGAGGGAGGGGAGTGGGGGGGTATGGTCCTGTCTCTAGAGGCCTGGCCCGTTAGCAGGTGGGGGGGTTTGGTCTTGATAGAAGATAGGAAGGCGAAACACAGTCCGACCAACGACTGGGACACCGGCGCGGTATGGGTGGACGCAAGACGGGCGGTGACGGCCACACAGGAGCTCGACACACCAGACTGATTGATTGATTGATGGGAAGGCGACACCAGTCAACCACACCACACCCGCAAAAAGTCCGAACCCCGCCGCCGCTGGGTCGAATTGTGTTCTCTCTCGGGCTTCGACGGCCCCCTCGATAGCTTCCTTCCCCACCCCGACCGGCACCTGGCCTCCTCCCACTGTTTCCACCTCTGTGGATTATGCGCCTCCGCGACTGGGTCTGCGCGGCATGCGGCGCGATCAACCTCGGCCAGCGCCAGTCCTGCTTCTCGTGCGGTGCTGTCAAGTGTGCCAACGCACGTGCCGCCACTCGTCAAGTCACAGAAATCGACGAAGCCGGGCCTCCGCCGCGGATGACTGACACATCGGCTGCCGGGCTTCATCTCGCGTCGACCGACGCCGCCTGCAATGTCGAAGGCACCAGGCCGGCAGCCTACTACGCAGAGGCCGCAGCGCGGAGAGGCGGCTTCAAGCCCGAGAGCTTCCGCGTCCGCGCGAGTGAGGCGGTGGCAGCCGGCGGCCGCGGCCGCGGCGGTCACGGCGCCAGACCCGGGCAGCGGCCACGTGGAGACGCGTCTGTCAGCCACCAGGACGCCATCGCAGCGCTCAAGGCGGAGCAGCAGGCGGCCCGCCAGCAGTGCCGCCGCACCCAAGAGAGCCACCTCTCTACCCACTGAACGTGCACTGAATGTCCACTTTGGCGCAGGCGCGGCGAGCGGCAGCCGAGGCGCAGCGGGCGGAGGAGCGGCGCGAGCGGCAGAGGCGGCGCGAGGCTACCGGCGACGCGCGGAGTCGGGGCGTCAAGACTAGCGGAGCGGAGAGTGACCAGCCGCTCGGCGAGCTGCTCGACTCGCGGGACGAAGTGGACACCCTCTCCGCCTCGCTGTGCGCCGTGATGAGCGGCGTCGTACAGGCGAGCGCCAGACCGCCGGAACAAGGTTGGAGAGGACACGCCGATTAGCGACAGTCAGAGCGCGAGCCAGTATCTAGATACGTAACCTGCACACGCTTGCACCTTGCACCATATTTTGGCTTGAGCTAGTATTAAGAGCGCTAATAACTATCAACACGGCTGCAGTGTCTAAACACCTCGTAAAATTCTAGCCGACACGCGACACACCTCTTCCTGTCTTCCAGCTGCCACTGGGTCGTCAAACGAATACAAAAAACTCGCTGATATGACAAGGTAAGGTAAGGTAAGGTAAACTTCTCCACACATATGATATGACACCGACGAGGACGACCGAGCTCCGCGCCTGGGCGCTGGGGGGCATGCACCCGCGGCAAGTAAAAGCGCCTTGCGGCGCAAGATCTCTTAAACACCTCTCTCTGCAACTCCGCGAGGCGAGACTTGGACTTCTAACTTCATGCAGTTGGCCCTGGAGCTGTCCCGTAAAGCCGTAGGGGCTAGGGCGGTAGGGGGCGTGCACGTACCACGTTGGCCTCATTGTACCGCCTTGGCCGCGCGCCGCGCGTGTGAGCGCCATCGGGGAGAGCACGAGGCCAGTCGTGCACGGAGCGCCGCGCTTGGAGACCTGGGCGGTGATCGGAGCACCGGAGATCTGGGCGGCTCTATCTCCTGATCCTGCGGCCCCTCCGGCAGCCCCGGCGACTCCAGCGACACCGGCGACACCGGCGACGCCGGCGACGCCGGCGACTCCGGCGGCTTCGGCGGCTGCGGCGACTGCGGCGGCTGCGGCTGCTCCGGCTGCTCCGGCTGCTCTGGGTCCGGCTGCTGGGGCAGCGGCGGCAGCGGGTGCGCTTGTTGTTTCGACGGCTGATGTTTCGCCGGCTGCCGCTGCTGCGGCTGCGGCTGCGGCTGCGAGGGCTGCTGCAAATGCGCCACTTCCTTCGGCTCTCCTCCCTGCGACCCCCATCTCCTGCGCTTCGTCACGTTGTTCTCCGGCTTTGGCGCTGGAGGCACGTCCCCTGCGCTCCGGCTCCGGCGGTGCATGACCAGTGGCTCTGCAAAGATCTCACCTCGCTGCTGCTTCAGCGCCCAGATCACGCGCCCCTCATTCTTCCCCGTCAGTTTGTACGTCATGTCCTCAGACTGCCACCCGAACGCCCCCTTGAGGCTCCGATCAAAGTAGCACGCGCCTCCCGGGTGAGCGCCTGCTTGCACCAACTTTGAGAAGCGAAAGGGGTCGGCGCCCCCCCACCCGGTCTCGTCAACCTTGCCCATCAGCCGTGCCCAGTGCATGGAGGAGGGCGAGAAGCGGTCGCCGGAGTGCACCTTGTGCGGCTCGCGCGTGAACATGCAGCGGATCAGCTTCAGGCCGAGAGCGCTCTTGAGGCTCTCCTTGGCGAAGCCCGCCTCGTCGGCGGCGTCGATCTCCGTCGAGCACGTGACCTGCAGGCCATTCCCGCCCGCCGGGACGCCCGACGGCGAGGGCGGGTCGGATACGCTTGACGCGCTGCCCTCTGCCAGCCGGGGCGCGCTCACTGCCGTGTCCCGGACCTTGTTGCGGCAGCCGATGAGGAAGCGCGGACAACTTCTTTGTCGTCTTCCCGGAGGGCTCCTCGACGGCGCTCAAGGCGGCTCTGTTGGGCTCAACCGCCCTGCTGGACTTCACCGTGTTTGAGGAGAAGCAGGGCGGCTGTCTCATCGTGTCATGGTGAGGTCGATCAAGGCGGCCCTGCCTGGCTCAACCACGCCCTGCGCAGGACTTCACACCGTGATTTGAGGAGTCAGAAGCAGGGCGGGCTGACCGAAGATCGTATCATGTTCAGCACGACAGCAGCCACACAAGCTCTCTCGCGTCGTCCCCCCGTGGGGGCGTGTGTTTTTAGATTTTGTGTTTGCACGTGGCCCGGGCGGGTGGCGTCTGGCGATTCTTGGATCTACTCTACGGTATAGGG